GCGTTGGATGCAGCGGGTGTGAGGCCGGGGAGGGAGGGCCAGACAGACAGATCCACAGTTCCCTGCCCCTTCCTGTCCCTCCCTTCGCCGCCTGCAGCCGGGCCCCCTCGGCCCAGCCCGCCTCCCAACAGCCCAGCTTTCGAAGAGGTGAGGCGGGCCTGGGGAGCTGAGTCAAGGTTGGAAGAGAGGTCAGGGCTAGGCCAGAGGTCGGGTTAGAACTGGTGTCGGGGACAGGCGGCAGACGCTGCCAAGGTCCGAGGTCGGGAAAGGTCTGAGAAGGAATCAGATGATAGACTTGGCATCAGGATGGGGGCGACGGCTCGGGGCAGCGGGGTTGAGGTCATCCATTTATTCCTTCGTTCATTCAGCCCGCTGTGTGCCGGGGACAGAGCAGTGCTGTTTTCCAGGGTGGGCCTCCAAGCTGAGGTGCGGCTGGCAGGAGGGGATTGTAAACTGACCCCAAAGGTGTAGAATGTCACATGTCAGAGCCACAGAAATTGCACACCGAATTTCTTATCAGTTTTCTTCTTTTTTAATTTTGGGTTTTAAAATGGAATTTTATTTGCTTTTTTGACCAAGTAACACATTCACATAGTTGTAAGTTCAAAAGGTAGAAGAGTATACTGTGAAAAGGCTACCAGGCAATTTTCATTAAAGCAGCAAATTCAATATTGGACCTGTTTGACATGTCAAATAAACTACGGAACTAGTGATATGACAAGAAAAATAAATATTGGTTCACTTTGGGAGGCTGAGGTGAGAGGATTGTCTGAGTCCACAGGTTCTAGACCAGCTTGGGCAACCTGGTAAGACCTCATCTCTACAATAAACCAAAAAATTTGCCAGGTGTGGTAGTGCATGCCTGTAGTTCCAGTTACCTGGAAGGCTGAGGCGGAAGGATCACCTGAGCCCAGCAGGTCGAGGCTGTGGTGGCCATGAGCATGCCATTGCCTTCCAGCCTGGGTGACAGAGTGAGACTCCGACTCAAAAAAAAAAAAAGAAAGAAAAAGCATAAATGAATCCAAGGTAATCAGGAAAGCTCCTTGGAGGAGATGACACTTCAGGAGAAGTGACATCCAAAACATTGCAGCATTTTACACCTGTCATGAGCTAGGAGGCTGCCTTGGGAGACTGAGGCAGGAAGATGGCTTGAAGCCAGGAATTCAAGGCCAGCCTGGGTGACATCATGAGACCTCATCTCTAACCTATATATTAAGATCCTTGTTCACCAGCTGGGGCAACATGGTGAGACCTTATCTCTATAGTAAAAAAAAAAAAAAATTATCTGGGTGTGGCGACACATGCCTGTAGTTCCAGCTACTTGGAAGGCTGAAGTGGAAGGATCACCTGAACCCAGCAGGTCGAGGCTGCAGTGACCATGAGTGTCATGAGCCTGGGTGACAGAGTGAGACTCCAACTCAAAAAAAAAAAAAAAAAAATCTATATTCAAATAAATAAAAAGAAAACTGAAAAAGAAAAA